AAGAGAGAGACTACAAAGAAAGGAGCTCACAGTCAAGAACGGAGGCAACTAGAATCTGGCTAAATTGCTGGAGAGATCTCCCACAAGCTAAGATCCAAGATTGGATTGAGCGTATTCTTATACATATTCCAAAGATAATTGAGCTACAAGGTGGTAATGAGTATATAGAGGGGAGAGATAGGCGTTGTGTAGGAGAGCGGCCAGATTTCGGCTAAATTATTCTTGGCAGGACAAAACTTTTGTGAGGCACCTCCGTACTACTACTACTACTACTACTACATAGCAGCGCGGGCTGTGAACGAGGAAGTGGGGGGGGGGAGGGGGGTTCGGGGTTCCGTCTAGTTTGAACCACGGCGGTATTGCGGTCAAGACTGTGTGTGTGCAAACACCAACAGCAAAACAGCCACACTCGCGCGAGGCCTTTGTGTGCGGGACAGGGTGCGATCGAGACGACGCTATATCCACCACTACCACCACCCCGGACTAACAGAAGACCCCTCGTGGAAACTAGTAAGTAGTAGTTCAAGGGAAATGGTTGCACAATAAGGCTGCATCCCAACGTCGGACCCCTTATACAGATCGCTCGATCTGGGAGACACACTCTAGTCCCGTCCGTCTCCCTCTGCTACATGGCCTGGTAACCCATGTTCACCGGCATTTGCCACAGCTTACGCATTTCGGGGTTTCATACCTTTGCTCACCGTCTTCTGCCTCCGCTGCACTTGTTCCATGGTCTTCCCGAGAATCACCGTCTTCCGCACACTCCCTCGGGGTTGGCTGTCCGATGCCGTGACTTGCATGTGCCCCGTCTGCTTCGCTATTGTGCTCCACCGTGGGGGGTGGTTGGGGGGGTGGTTCGTTTGCAAAACTCGGACATGGCCCCCCTCCACCCCCTCCCCCGCCCTAACCCCCTTCGCCTTTTTTTTTTACCATTGAGCTGATTGCGGACGGGACGTGTGCTCGTCTACAAATTTCGCTGTGACATGACCATGATTAACGCCACCTAGCTGCACGCGTCGCGAGAACCGGATCTGCTGATCCTCACCGGGCTCTACACGGCGCTGCGCAAGCAATGTGTCAACGATTCAGTTGTTCGTTATGGGACATTCGGGGATTGGCGCCCTGCAAAGTTGCGGTGTCCGTATTTGGAATCTTTGAATTATCGATTTCCCACCAAAGGGGTTGGTGAGTATCTTTTTTTTTCTTGACCTCCCCTTCCCGGGGGGAACAAAGTCGTCTCAACCTAGCACCATGATTCGTACTCGTATCCACATACAGGCCGTTGACTATTGTTCTACCAATGTTGCCGATTTGGAGACATGAAACAAGCACACTTGGCCTCCGGTCAGCTCGAATAAGCCCAAGATGCACGCGCGGAATGCGTAGCCACAATGCACTGACACGGTGGTGCCCTTTTTTCTCCGCAAGCCCACTTTGTGCAAGTCGTTGCAGTGACTTGGCGCAGCGATTAGGTTTGGTTCGTCCTTGTGTCATGTTTTGTGCATAAAGAGTCGACTAGGCGGAATCGTGGTTGCTTCGCTCCATTAGTCAACCACCGTCTCCGCTAACAAAGTTTAAATGGCCCGCCAGCATTGCATGGCCATAGCCACCAGAGATGGCGCAATCGCGACCCGCGAAGTATATCACCTGGATAGGCGTAGAAGCCTTCCAGAAGAAGCTAATCAAGGCCCAGTTGGCTCAGCTTTTTCCCAAATGACAAGCACCTGTGGCCTTGGAGAGGGGGAGGGGGGGGGAAATACATGTCCATGGGGAGGTACGGCTAGGATACGCTTTGGACAGATGGGGTGTAGGGCCTAAAATATCCGATGATTTTTTTTCTCGCAAGTCCAAGCGGATCTTCAGATCAACCCAGGCCCTGCTACCCGTCGCGTAGGCGTGATGATCCCGTGCAGTGGTTGGCTGACTGGGCTGCGGTGTGTAATTGGACTGGACCCCTATGTGCCGACCCCGCCTCAGCTGCGAGTGACGAGAAAAGGGACCAGGACATGAAACTGCCGACATTCTGATACGCAGAAGCACGATATGTGATACACGGGTAGCACATCACCAACAGCATGAGGGCGACGCGCAAACGAGGAAAAGGCTCGGCCGCACCGTCGGAGCTGTCAACGGGCAGCCATGTGTTGTGAATAGTGGCATGGTTCGTCACGCCTTGCCGGAAACCGGAGGCGGCACGATCAGCGGCCATGGAGACGGTTTGTCGCGTCGCATTTACCCGTCTGAACTTGTTGGGGTTGGAGAGAGGGGTGAGGGGCGTGTGGGCGTGTGTTTGTGGGCGTTGACGGGCAAGGCCAATTTGAGCGAAAAGGGGTGTGGAGGGTCCACGACGAGAAACGACTTGTGGCTTGCAACGGCTAGAACTGTCAGGCTCTTCAGCTGCTGCTTTCGGCTCTTTCAACCCAGTCGCCGCCGACGAAGGAAGGAAGGGGAGGCGTGAACAAAGCCGAATACAGGACGGTGTACTCGCCGTGCGGGCGCTGGCTCTTGCAATCCACCTAGTACATAGGACTATGGGCGGCCTGAAGCATGGCCGAGTATGCCCCCAGACAGACTCTGGCCATGGGTCCATATCAACTGGGATGCCAACGGCCCTACCACTACGCCGCCACCTAATCCTCCACCTGGATGCAACACCCTCACGCCCCCCCCCCCCCATCGAGTCAATGCTTCTTGGCCGCCCGCCCGCTCGTCGCCATGCTCGCCGCGCGGGTAGCTCCAGTCCCCATATCGCCCACGCACGGCGATTGACTTTGGGTAGTAAACATTGGGCCCGTTTCTGCAAACGCTTGTGGCCTTGCAGTGCCGCTGCCGAAAACAAAGTCCCGCCCTGCCATGTCCCCTCACTAGTCATGATACACACGGCGGAGCAAACAGCTATTTGGGTTGGTGCGAGCATGTACCTGCGTTAGCGGAGCGTGAAAGTCGCATTTCTGAAACTTATTAGCCCTTGGGCCGACTGCCGAAACGGGCCATGAGGTGCCGGTCAAAAGTGGGCTAGCCTTGGCCTAGCCGACGAGGAAGAGGATGACATGACCGACGATAGCAGCCCGCGTGCTAATGTCGCTCTACTAGCAGTCATACTATTGCTATTGCCATGTACGTGCCCTGGCCCTTAATCCTCGTTGCTATAGAAGCGCGAACCAGTCGGGCGCACGTGGTGCCAAATATTTCCCCACCGAAATATAGCTGCACACAGAGCCAATACTCAGCGAGGCCGTGGGCGCTGTGTAAGCGGGCGCCCTTCTTCACGTCCATGGGCGGAGGCCTTGTCGACCGTTGGGCCGGTAAGCCAGCCGTGGCTTGTGGGTGTGTGTGAGCGTGTGGGCATGAGTATGCTGTGTGTAAGCAGCGAGCGCGAGAGCAGCCGGCGGTTTGCCAGTGACATCAGCGTCTGCTCAACGCATGAATGTCGCCAGCAACGGTCATCCATGTCGTCCACAAGCGGGCGGCGCTTGTCCGCTCCGGGCAATGTGGCCGAGCTATGTGACCCCCGCCGCGCCCAATCAGCGCCCGCCACCCGCCCACAGCGGCTAGCCAAAAGCATCTTCTGAAACCGAATCCCACACCTGACTGGCCTGCGGGCGGCGCGTCACGCCGAGCACACGCACAAGCAGCCTCGACCCAGCACCCGCGCTACCAGTGAATGGACCACAGCAAAGGAAACGCGAGAGACACTCCATCGCATATACGTGTATCGTGTGCATACACCTGCGAGGGTAGCAACGTGGCTGCTGTGCTGCACGCGGGCTGACGACATGTGAAGGACACCATGGGCCCTCCCGCCCAAGGCCGGCTGGGGAGGGGGGGGGCTGTTTCAGATGGAGATCAAACCACGACCCCTCCAGCGTTGCTTCTGCGTGTTCCTGCGTCTAGACGCAGCCTACTTACATACTTGGTCAATCCATCACACACAAGACAGATGGACCGACGACGAGGCTGGGAGGACTGCTGTTGCAGCGCACAGACGGGCTCCATTGGGACCAGAGTGCAGCGCGCAGCCTGAAGCGTGCAGAATGGAGCGTGTGATGTACCTGCAGCAGTAGGCTAGTGCTGGTACCTACTTTTTTTCTTTCTTTCTTTCTTTCTTTCTTTCGTTCTTTCTTCGCTATGGGGGCCATCGGTAGCCGACACAGCGTGGTAGTTGCCGAGCATGGACGAGGGGAAGAGGGGGTGTGGGTGTGGGTGTGGGTGCTGGTGTGGGTGCTTGGTGCGGGAGACGAGTAGGAGAGACGAGAGCGGTGGCTACGTGACAGCGGCCAGTGAGCGGCAGCACGAAAAAAAAATGTCGCAATTTCGCAGGCAGGCGGCGGCGGCTACGCGAAGTCGAGAGCTTGCGGCGGCGAATACCATGGGACAAAGGGCGGCGGGCGGCGGGCTGGTACATGGCAGACGTGTGGCTTGGCCCTGGACGAGAAATGACGATGATGAACAAGGCGGATCAATACGCTCGACTGACGCAACAAGCATGGCCTCGCACCGGCGTGGGCCCGCCATGGGATGCGATGGGCGTGGGCGTGGGCGTGGGCGGGCGTGGGCGGGCGTGGGCTGGTGTGGTGTTGCTAAGGTTTGCAGCCATGGAGCCGAGTGTGGGCGGGCAGGCGGGCTAGGCCCAAAGCGCGGCGTGGGCCGGGCGGGCGGGCAGGCCAGGGCAGGAGCGACAGAGGGCACCAGCAGACCGAGGGGAGGAGGGTGAGTGGGTGAGTGGGTGAGTAGGTGAGGCAGGCACGAATGCAAATGCGCGCGAAATTGTGAGTGTGGGTGGGCAAGTGTGTGAGTGTGGGTGAATCTAAGTGCCTATGTGTGTGTGTGTGTGTGCGTGTGCGTGTGCGTGTGCGCGCGTGGGTGTGTGTGGCAGACACAGACACGCACCTTCCGGTTTGCATGGCCGCCCGTTTGCGCGAGTGCAGGGCAGGCAGGCACGCAGACGGGCAGGCGAGCAAGCAAGCAAGCACGCAGAGTGGCAGGGCAGGCATCATGGGGCCACGACATCATGGCCGCCAGCCAGCCAGCCAGCCAGCCAGCGCCTGGACGCGCGATGGATGGATGGGTGGATGGACGGGGCAAGGACGCGGAAGCTGGAAAGCCTTCCTTCCCTCGCATCCCTCCCCTCCGCTGGTCGCTCCTGCCACCTGCTTGCCTCGACCTCGACCCCGTCCCCCCATGGCTGGCCGACCCCCCGACCCGGCCCTGGCCTGCCCTCCCTGCCCGCCCTCACCACCACGGCGGCCTCGCGCTCGCCCTCGCGCTCGCCCTCGCCCACTCGACCCGCCTCCGCCGCGTCTTACCACCAGCAACCCCCGACGCGCGCCTACACAGCACCCGGCAGCCCGCACCCAGCAGCACCAGCAGCACCCAGCAGCACCAGCAGCACCCAGCGCCCAGTAGCCTCTGCGGGCGGCGCTGGGGCGGCAGGCCAAGCACGTTAGCCAGGCGTCGCGCGCCGTCGACAGGGCGTGCACGGGCCGCGTCCCACGAGTCGCCTGCATCCCTGCGGCCACCTTGGGCGCTGGCGGGGCCCTCGGAGCCCCAATTGGCCGCGCTACGCGCACAGGCCATGCCGCTGGCTGGCGTGCGGAAATAGATCAATGTGAGACGACTAGTCTCCTGTTTCACTCGCCCTCCGACACCTAAAGCCGCCGCCGCCCCCTCAGATTTGCGTTTCGCATCCCCCTCCAAAGCCGTACCTTCTTGGTCAACCTTGAGACTGCTATCTGAGGCAGGTTCCTCACCTTCTTATCATCGGCCTCACGTTCGCGCGTTTTATTATCTACTCCTTTTAAACATAACCTGACACTCTTTCGTTTTCGATCCTGGCAGGTCCTCGACGACCCATTCCCACGTCTTGTTGCTGCTCTCCCGCACCTACCCAGCCTCGGGCCCTCGTGTGTCGGACCCTCGGACCCTAACCACCACCACACCGCACACAGCATCCGCCTGCAGCCCACCATGTATCCCTCGCAACACCACGCCCAGATGCCCCCGCCCCAGGCGCGCTCTGTCGCCCCAGAGACGTTTTTGCTCGACCAAGACGCCCAGCAGAGCCTGCCGCCCGACAGCGTCGTCGCCCTGCAGCAAGTCGACAACCGTACGTTGATGCCGCTGCCCTTGCCGCCAGCCACCTCCTGCGCCTGCCGCGCCTGCTGACACGATTCCTGCAGTCAAGTACTTTCTCATCTCGGCGCCCGTCGACTGGCAACCCGACCAGTACATCCGCCGCTTCCTGCTCCCCACGGGCGAGTACGTCTCGTGCGTTCTCTGGTAAGTCGACTGATAGCGCCCACTGCATGTCGAATCGCGTCTAATCCGCGCTCCCCTCCTCCAGGAACAACCTCTTCCACATCTCCGGCACAGACATTGTCCGATGCCTGTCCTTCCGATTCCAGGCCTTTGGCCGCCCCGTCAAGAACTCCAAGAAGTTCGAGGAGGGCATCTTCTCAGATCTCCGCAACCTCAAGTCGGGCACAGATGCCTCGCTCGAAGAGCCAAAGAGCGCCTTCCTCGACTTTCTCTACAAGAACAACTGCATCCGAACACAGAAGAAGCAAAAAGTCTTTTACTGGTACAGCGTGCCCCACGACCGCCTGTTCCTCGATGCGTTGGAGCGTGACCTGAAGCGCGAGAAGATGGGCCAGGAGGCCACCACCATGGCCGTCAGCGAGCCGGCTCTGTCGTTTGAGTTTGATTCGTCCCAGTCGCTTTTCGAGCAGCTCACAAAGGCACAACAAACAAACTCGTCATCATTCAACAACAACATGCAGCCATCCTATCCCGGCACCTCGCCCGACATGCGAAGCATGGAGTCGATGCCCCCGCCAACCATGGTTCCCGTCCAGCAGTCGATGCCTCCCATGCAACAGCCAATGCACAGCGAGGACCCCATGGCCCAGTACCACCAGCAAATGTCGATGCCCCCCTCGATGCCCAACAACGTGGTCAAGAGCAGAGAGCAGCGCGAGATGAGCCAGTCGTTTCAGTACGACCGCAACGGCATTCCTCTGTCGCAAATACACCAGCGCCACAGCTCCATGCCCGCCTACATGGAGTACTCTCCCGCGCCTTCATTCGTCTCTTCGCACTACGAGGACTACAGCACGCGCGGCATGTCGTTTGAGCCACTGACGCCTCCTCAGCACCAGATTGGCCTCGGTGCCGAGCCAGCATACATTGCCAACGAAGACACTGGCCTCTACAGCGCCATTCCCGACCTTCCCGCCCCCAACACCTTCAACCCCCTCATGAACCTGCCCCCGTCTAACCTGATGGGCCCTGGCTACCCGGGTGTCTCGAGGCCGTTTGCCCCTGGCAATGTCTACTCGGTCATTGAGGGCTCGCCCACGTACAAGCAACGGAGAAGGCGCTCTTCGCTGTCTGCCGGTATTGCTGCTGCCGTGACTGCTTCTGGCGCCGGTGCCCACCAGGTCCACCGCCCCAGCGACTTGAGGCGGTCCATGTCGAGCTCCGTCGTTCCTCTTGCCGAGGTCGATGAGAACACGCACAACTCGCCCAACAGTGCCAACGGCGCAAACTACTCTGCACCCCAGATGAACGACACCAAGCCGGCTTTCGACATGTCAAGGCAAGGTACCCCGCTCAACACGGTAGAGGAGAGCCCAGAGCCCCAGCCTGCGCCCATGCAGCACGACGACCTCAACACGCTCGTCAACGGCGAGCTGTTTGAGAGTCCTCTGCAGCACAGCGCCGTGGCTCGCGCAGCCGGAACCGGCGGACCCGTCTACCGCCGCGCCCGAAGCGCGACCATGATGGAGATTGGCCCATACCCCCAAAAATCGCACTCTTGCCCAATCCCCACGTGCGGCCGTCTATTCAAGAGATTAGAACACCTCAAGAGGTAAGCGCTCGCAATTTCTTTTTCTTGCTGCATCTGCGTCTCACTGCATCATCTTGTTCCCCACTATTTTTGTTTCGCATAGACGCTGACCCTGGCGCTTAGACACGTGCGTACCCACACACAAGAGCGACCATACGTCTGCCCGCTGTGCAACAAAGCCTTCTCGCGCTCGGACAACCTTGCCCAGTATGTGACGCCCAGTGGCGACGAATCAAAAAGCAAAGATGCTAATTACTTTTGCAGACATCGTCGCACACACGAGCCCCGCGCTGACGGCGAGCCGCTGAGCGATTACCAAGAGGAAGATCTCGAGGGTGACGAGGACCACCTCCAATCGCTCGAGGACGACCTCTCGCCTGAGTCTGGCAACGACTACCTCTCTGGCTTGTCTCACTCGATCAACGATATCCCTGGCCCGGCACTGGCCATGACCATGGCGCCGCCGCAGCACAGCCTGATGGCGGGCAGCCACTACTGAGTGCCGACCGTTATCGCTACCAGCAACAGAACCGTCACGACCGTTACACACGTGAAATGAGCATCTCGGCGTAGTCACGGCGCAGCCACTTAGAAGGATACCTTTTTTGTACTTTGGTTTGGTTCATCTTCTCTTCCCACTTTGCGTTTTAATCTCCCTAGACTGGGCGTGTCTTGTTTCGGGCATACTATTTGGGATGCCTACGCTGCGAAGCATTGCAAGCCATCTTGTCTTCTTTTTCTCTCTATCTCTCTATTCAATCTCGGAGCTAACGGCCGGTCTTGTCACCGGAGATTGGCTTGGAGGGGTTGTGACGACACCACGAACATGAGTACCCTTTTTTTTGTTTTTCCATTCCTCTCATCGTTTCACGTTGATTTTTCTTTATCCATTTTCTTATTCTTCCAGTCTTCTGTCTGCCTGTTTGCCGTTGTCGCGCAATCATAAGAGCGCTCATCTGTTCATGTTGGATATATCCTAGCTATTGGCGGCATAGTTTTGTCTACAAAAGTTGTGGGTGTTGGGGAATAGTTGCTTGGAGGTGAAAGGGCATTATAGGGAAACACGCACAATATTTTTTGATTTCATGGCAACATGTTCGTTTTGCGTGCCCTCGTTGGTGTTTGACGCGCGCCAGGGCCCTATGTGGGATGGCGTCGTGTGTACTACTACTACTACTACTACTTGGATCGTTTATCACATCAATGCAAATGCACAAAAAAATTGGCAAAACTCGTCTACATGGTTTGATTGCGACTTCTACGTGCATGGTTTGATTGTCGCCATCTGACTCATCGTCGTATCTCACTTGTCGTGCCGTCTGAGCATTTCGGGCTTCGGACTGGTAATCTTAAGGGTATATTCGCTTACGCATCCCTCCCCCCTTCATTCCCGTCTCTACATCACGTGATCCGGACTTGCCGTGTCCGTTGCCCTGTTTCATCCATTCACATCGTCATCATCATCATCATCACAATGGATGTACAGCCACCGCCACAATCCACCGAGAGAGGGAGAGAAATGCAGCAAAAATACACAAAAAACAATACAAGCCACTTGCTCTCTGCATTTACTTTTCCCACTTGCACAGCCTCCCTCCCCCCCTTTTTCTTTTCCTCCCAGCCGTTTACACCATTTGCTTTTTCCGTTTTCCCCTCTGCTCATGGCGCACTTGCTGGCGCCCATTCTATTGCTTTTTTCGTCATTTTGGGTTTTCTGCTTTGTCATTGCTTTTTCAGCACCCCCCTTCCCCTTGCCTTTCCCTTTCGTCCTCGCTTCCCTCCCCCCCCTCCCCCCTTCGTCTAACCCCCCCCCCTTCTTCTTCTTCTTCTTCTCATCTTACGTATGCAACCACGTTTGCCGTCTTTGCTCGCACACGCACACACACTTTATTCTTATTACGCTGTATTATTGATTTTCCGTTTTGACACTAAACCGAGCGAGCGAGCGAGCAAAGGAAACAAAAAAAATACACCGAGAACTCCGAACCCGCGCGGCACACACTCTCACACACAGACACAGGCACAGGCACAGGCACATACACAGATAAACTAACCGAGACCCCAAAACAATGGAAAGCCAACTCCAACGGTCTGGGCCATACAGCAGGGTTAGTCCTTGCGTGCTCGCTTGCTTGCTTGCTGCAGCTGCTGATGCAGTTGCTGATCCCCTCTTTTTTTAATTATTGTTCTGAGATTCCCATTGCGCCTCATTGCGCACACGCATCGGCCGCTAATGAGCGATGTAGGTATACTACCAGGTGTATGACTTTTTTTTTCTACTACTACTCATGTACCCATATATACTACATGCAGACATACAGACATACATACTACTTACTCGTACGTACTATTCCCGCTCCTACACCGGATACGTACCTACATGCATCCATACAATAAATATGCCTGCCCTTCTTATCGCTTGTAACCCCCTTATGCCATGCCTCCGAGATGGAGTCTGGCGGTGGCGGCGGCGGCGGTGGTGGTGGAGGCGTCGGGGAGCGGGCCATGCACACACTGGCACTGGTTCTCTTCGCTTCCCCCCCCTCTCTCTCTGTCTCCAATTCTACGTGCTTACTCCACTTTCCAACCCCCCCGTTTCCCCGTTGGCAGCCCCCCCTAGGTGCAGATTGCAGGTTTGCAGCTGTGTATTCTGACGTCCCCCGCCCCCCCCCTGGCACTGTGTTATCATCATACTATATCCTTACCTCATCTTACTTATCTTACATGGCGGTCGGTGGCTCTAGCTACATACATACATACATACATACATGCACAAGGCATGGGAAATCCGGTGTGGGCGCGTGCATATGCTATGGTATACTTGGCTATTCCCATATCCACATATTATCCCAATTGCGCATGTGCGTGTATGTTAAACGTGCGCTGTGCTGTGCTGTGCTGCGTTGACGTATAATAGCAAAGGCCGCGGTATAGGTATGGGGGTATGTATGTGTCTGTGTGTCTGTGTCTGTGTCTGTGTCTGTGTAAGATGACTAGCCAGCCAGCCAGCCAGCTAACTAACTAACCAACTAACTACGGAGATATGGAGATATGGAGATTTGCGGATAACAAAGGGGAATGAATGAATGAATTGAGCCGCACTCCAACCCCCCCTGCCCTCATCCCATCCCATCCCATCCCATTCTAGTTAAACCAACGCTAGTACCATGTCCTCCTCCTGTTCCTCCTGTTCCTCCTGTTCCTCCTGTTCCTCCTGTTCCTCCTGTTCCTCCTGTTCCTCCTACGCCTTGTCCCGAACACTCTCTGGCTCTCACACACACACACACATATCCCATACACATATCCACCGTATTCCGCCCGCGCGCACATGTACGTGCGGCGCGGCGCGGTGCGTGCGCCCTGTGCCCTGTGTGTCCAAGTTTTTTTCTTTCTTTCTTTCTTTCTTTCCCCGCCCCGCTTGCATTCGCGGTGCATTTTGCAAGTTCCGTTGCGTTGCGTTGCGTTGCGTTGTGTTTCGTTTGGGGTGGGCGGGCGGGGGGAGGAAATGGCAGGGCAGGGCAGGGCAGGGGTTGTGTGCAAGTTGGTCAAGCGCACGTTTGACTCGGCATATCGAGTATGTATCTACAGAGGTGGCTTTCAAAAGTTCTTGCTGACAGGGGTTCCTTGGTTACCACCAAAAATATAGCCGAAGACTAAGAATTATACTATATTCGCAACTAAAAGCCCTTAAAATACAAGTTTGGAGAGAATAATAGCTACTAAAGTATACACTTACAGTAATACACTAACTCTATCAGGCATTATTTTTTGCACGCTAAGTAAATAATGGAAACGTTATTACGAGAATTCGGTCCGATGGATCCGCGCCTTAGCAAGAACTTTTGAAAGCCACCTCTGTATGTATGCATGTATGTATGTATGTATGTATATGTGTTTTATCGGGGGGTGTGGGGACGTTAAACCCTGTATTATTATTATTATTATTATTATTATTATTATTATTATTATTATTATTATTATTATTATTGTTGTTGTTGTTGTTGTTGTTGTTTATTTGCGTTGGTTCTCTGCGCGCGCAGTGTGTGCGTGTGCGAGTGGTCAATAGCAATGGGATGCATGTAGCCGCAGGTACATACAAGAGTGGGAACTTTTCTGAGAGCAATGTGTTTCAGAATTTGGGGGGGGGGTGGTTTGTGTGTAACGGCCCTTTTTTTGGGGGGGGTGGCGGGAGGGAGATTCATCGGAATTCCGTTTGTATCAAAACTGCTTCCTTCCGAGGGGTTTTTTTTTAATCTATCGGATATGTCTCTCTCTTTCTTCTCGCTATGCGGTCTTACCTGTATCTGTTCTAGTTTGTGATTTTTGGGAATCCCCTTCTAAGGCTGTTTGTCGGTAGTTGGCGTGACTCCGTTGATATTAGCTTTTATTGTTTTGGCTCTCGGACGGGGGAAAGGCGGACGGGGGAGTGCGGATGCTGTCTACGCCATTTTTTTCCCTCCCTCCTATCCTTCTTTTGGGGGTCGGCAATTTTCATGAGTTTTTGCTTTTGCCTTTGGCGCAGGGCTGTGGCGGCATATGCGTACTTGACGCATGCTTTACCGGTTCCTACATGCCCATGCCCTTGTCATGCCTTGTCGTGCCTTGCCTTGTCTTGTCTTGGCTGGGTGGCGCACGACCACGACGACGGTAAATCAGGCTGCTTGGGGAACCTCGGTGTACTGATCTACGAGGAGGGGCGAGGAAAGTTGCTTTCCCCAAAGGCAATTGCAGACGGCAGATACACGCGGTGACGACGCCGACCACGGGGATGACACCGGGGATAATAATAGGGTTCCTGGGAGCAATGGATTGACCAGGTAGATTCCCCAAGATATTGGGCCGTTGGCTGGGCCGTGAGATTGCGTGAGGGGTTGGGGAAGACGGCAATGCACAGAACTAAGGACTTGCTGCTGTTTTCCTTTTTGGTACCGTTTGTGGTTGCTATGGCTGTTGCTGATGGTGGTCCCACTTTTTGCCTTTTTCTGTTACTCTCTTCTCTCTCGGTCGCTCGGTCGCTCGGTCTCGCTGTGTTTTGTTTCGTTTCTCGCTCGCGCTCTTCTTCTTCTTCTCCACTTGCCGTCGCGTGTGTCTGTGTGTTTCTTTCTTTCTTTCCATCTTGTGTGTCTGTGCTAGGACAGTCGATGGATTGCCGGCATGTTTACCCTTTGTCTGTGCAAAGGCGCATGTGCTACGCCTACTAATGTACCCGTGTACGTGTTTGTTCAAGCGCAAAATTTATCTCGCTTCTGCTCTTGGGTTGCCTTATCTTTGCTTCTTCCGCCGTTCCTTTTCTCATTTACCCTTTCCAGCTATTTTGGCGGCCGTGGCGCGCCTGACCAAGGCAGACGGTTTGAGCGACATATCTGTGCGGGGGTCGTCGAAGCTCGTCGGAGCTGGTCGGAGCGTTGTTTTGAGAGGGGGAGCATGGGCTGCTGTTTCATGTATATTTGGCGGAGTAAGACTTGGGACTAGTAGTTTTTTCCTCAGTATCACATCTACCGGGTTTAGTGCCTAGCCGGTGTTGCTTGGGTTCTGGCCCTGGTGTTTGCGTTAGTCGCTTTGTACGCCTTGTTGGGTCCGGTGAGCATGTGGGACCGGTTTGTCGCGAGACGAAAGAAAACAAAGTTCGAACAAGAAATGGCGGTTGCCAGTAGGTATATTAGTGACCTGCTCGCTCATCGCGATCGAGATCCAAAATCGAGATCTCGATCCCACGTCCGGTGAGGGAGGCTCCGTTCTTGTTCGTGTGGTGTTGCCATGCTTGTGCGTTGGTTTCTTTGTCTCCCAAGTGCATTTTGTAGGTTTGTTAGCGTCTTGATTGTACGCGTCGGCGACATCTGAGCTTTGTGAGTCCTTTCCCTTTAGAACGGAGGTTGTGTGGTGGTGGATAGGTGTCGTCTTTTTCGAGGAGGTTGCGCGATGCGAGGTCGCGATGGTACATTGCCCAAAAACACTTTGCCGAGTTCGCCAAAGGGTGAGTTTCGTATATGGGTTTTCCAAGGCTGTGCGCAGTATAGGCCGTATGCTAGTGGTGGGCGGACTTGAGTTGTTGTTGCCATGTTGTGTGTGGACGAGGTGTGTTGTAGGTGTTTAGGCGTGTAGGCGTGTATCCTTAGGGTGCGCAGTGCGTAAAAGACGGCCCTGACAGCTGACCGCCGTAGCTATGAGAAAGAATGCATATCCGCAGGTCTTGTGAATATGCACACCCACAGCAAGTATTGTCTGTACTTGGATGAATGTCGTAGTGTTAGAGGCAGTGAATACTTCTCTTATCAACGTACGTGTTCATGTCAGCAATGGCCGTGCCTCGCGCGTTGATTATTGCGGCCAGTTGATGTTATGCAAATCGTACGACAAAACGCCAGATGTGCTGTAATTCTCGGCCAATAGTGTTATGCTGTCAGCACCCTGAAGTGATGACCCAGTGTATGCCCGCACAATAGTACTGAAAATATAGGCGAGCTTCCAGGAAAGAACTGAAGGGATAACAGAGTGTTATGAGAGAAGTTATGCAGTGAAAAGTGTATGAGGACCATCTTGTTTATCTGAAACTGGCATGTCACAACAAAGGACAAATCCGCCTCCATCGCACGGCAGTTATGACGTCCCACCAGGTCTGACCCCGCTCCTGTTAAACATACCATCAGCCCTCGTTGATATTCACAGCCACGCCCTTTCCACTCTCCCAAAACGCCACGGTTCTCTCGGCAATGGTTGCCGGGTTCAAGACTTTGTTTTGAGGTGCTACTTGGCCCCCGACGTGGATCAGGCCAATATGCACGCCACTGTCACCGAATGCGCGGTAAAAACTTTCTACCATGTTTTTCTGGGCTGCTTTGACCAGACTCAGCGACAGAAGCGGTGGAATGGGGTCCCAGGGCAGATGACTGTTTGTGACGAGGAGAGCGGGTTTGAGAGAGGTGTTGCACTTGGCGAGCGCCTGAAGCTTGGGGATGTAATGCTGCGCAATAACATATAGAGACAAATTGGTTGTCTGAGATGAGTGTCAGCAGGCTGTATGCTGCCGGTGAGACGTACATGTGGGAGATTGCCTACCTTGAAGTCGTCGTCTATTTCCTCGATACTGACACCTAGGACTTCACTTGGTTTGATGCGTGCGGCATTGAAGAAGATAACTTCGACGTCTTCACCGTCGGTCATACTGTCAAGCTCCTGAAGTACGTCGGGAATGGACTTGAGGTCTGCGAGATCGATGCGCAGAGTATCGACTTTGACGGCAGGATTGCGTTTCGATACAAAGAGCACATCCTCATTCTGAAGTCGTTGTGTGTTGCGAGCAAGAGGGACAACGCGATCGATGCCTTTGGAAGCAAATTGTGCAGCAGTGTGGTCACCGATGCCGGGACCGGCTCCAAAGACGATGAGGGTGCGTGCCATATTGGAGATGCGGTAGAGGATTGGTAGGTTCAAGGTAGCGCTTCAGGTAGTCTTTATTGGACACTCAGATAAGGCTGCGGCTTTATACTAGCCGGCTACAAAGAGATGGATGGCACTTTTCCTCCAAACTCCCAATATTGGGTAAGACGCATATGGGGCATCGCCGTCTTAGCTGAGTAATGGCTGGCTGCATGCGAATGGCTTGCACCAGGCCGTCCTTTGCAGTAGGATTCGGAGAATGACACCTCATTCTGACAGTCAAGTCAGCATCTATGCGCCATACCAATGACGTGCAGTTACGCCCCGATGCTCCAAGACTCTTGTCGGTGTCATACTGCAAGGGCTGCGGGGCTGGGCGTTTTCTTGTCACAGCGAGTGCCTCATGAGCTCTTGGTCTAGTCAATGACAAAGCACCACAGCATACGCCGGTTCATATACTTGCAAATGGTGTATAAAGGTCGTGGGACGTACAGCTAAGCTTTGTTACCAGGCATGCGGTATGGTCCCCACAATCATTCCGTCGCGCTATGTTAGCGTGGCGCGTCATAGCTGGGCACTGCAGCCTCAGCTCCAACCTTGTCACCTCCAGTCCAGCTCTTGATCGCCAAATCCTCCTGGCGGACTATGCTGACGGGCCAATATGGACTTTTCCGCGGATGACGACGAGGCGCTCAAGCAGTACATTCCGAGCCAGTTTGGAAAAAAGGATGGCTCCGTCGACGTCGAGGCCCAGATCGAACGCGCGCGCCGGAAAGTTGTCGATGAGAACAAAGTGCAGAAAAAAGCGGGCGGATCCGATGACGAGAAGGACTCGGACGACGACGATAGCGACATGAGCGACGAAGAAGACGAGTACCCGGTGTCGCATGAATTGATTATCAAGACGCATGATCGCGCAGTCACGACCATTGCCCTCGATCCCTCTGGCACGCGGCTGGTGACCGGCAGCAACGACTGCACGCTCAAGTTGCACGACCTAAGTGCGCTCACTCCGAGTACGATTCGCGCCTTCAAGACGGTAGACCCGTTCGCGACCAAACCCTCGCAGACGGCCGAGTCGCATTCGATACACCAGGTCCTATTCGGCCCACACTCTGGAGGACAGTTCCTCTGCATCACGGCGACATCCCAGCCGAGGCTGTTCAGCAGAGATGGAGAACTCGTGTCCGAGTTCGTCAAGGGCGACATGTATCTGAGAGACAAGCACAATACAAAAGGACACACGGCAGAAGTCACGAGCGGCGCATGGCACCCGACGAACCGCGATCGCTTTGTTACAGCCGGAACGGACAGCACGGTGCGGATATGGGACGTGAACAAGAGGATGAAACAGGAAGAGGTCATCGTCTACAAGTCGAGGGCTGCGGGGAGCGCGGGCATGACCAGGATGACGGCCGTCGCTTGGGGCGCAGCAGGCGAAGGAGGAAGTAGTATGCTCGTGTCCGCAGCGCTTGACGGCAGTCTGGTCATGTGGGGTGGCGAGGGACCATACCATCGCCCTACAGCCGAAATTAAGGATGCACATGCAAAGGACAGCTGGACGAGTGGAATCGACATCAGCGCAGACGGGAGATTGGTTGTCACAAGGGGTGGCGACGACAGCATCAAGCTATGGGATACGCGAAAGTTCAAGACGCCGCTGAACACGGCATCACACCCTTCCACGTCGTCGCAGTTCCCCACGTCCAACATCCAATTCGCTCCCAACACGCAGAGCATAATCACAGGCTCTGAGACGGGTCATTTGCACATCTTGAACCCGGCGACGCTGCGCCCAGAGCTTGCTACGCCTGTTACGCCAGGCTCCCCTCTTATTACCGTCAACTGGCACCCCAAGCTCAACCAGATGATTACCGGCTCCGCCAATGGGCAAACCACGATCCTCTTCAACCCCAAGCTCTCTAACGCCGGGGCTCTTACCATCCTCAGCAAGAAACCCAAGAAGCGGCACGTTGACGACGACCCCTCCCTCACGGTAGACATGGATCCGCTGGGCATGGCGGGCGAGGCCCACGACCCGTCGGGCAATGCAGCATCCTTCTCAGCCCGCCATCCCACGATTGGTCTCACAGCATCGGGCAAGAGCCGGGATCCCCGACGACCTCATATCCCTGCGACAACGCCCTTTGCCAAGTCTACGCCCGACCAGAAGTATGTGATGGAGCAGATTGAGGGCAGCGACATGAGAGACGAAGACCCCAGGGAAGCGCTGCTCAAGTACCAGCCGAAAGAGGGCGAGAGGGCCATCTTCACGGGCGCATGGGAGAAGACGCAGCCAGTGGGCATCTACAAAGAGTACGATAGCGAAGACGACGAGCGAGATAGCAAAAGGGCCAAGCGATGAGCATAATGATATGAGTAGCATGGCTGGGTCGATCCCAGCAGCAACACAGCCACAGGCTGCCTAGTGCCGTGGCCGAGTCGTGGTTGATAGCGTCGTGACCTTGTAGCGTTCAACTGCCGCGGAGCCCAGCAGCCCAAGCCCAAAACGGCAAGGCGTGCCTGTCCGTCGCACAGCCGCGTACACGTCGCGCCCCATTGTCAGCAAACACCCCACTTTGTTGCGTGCGAACAATTGCAGCCGCCACACAGCTCGCCGCCGCTCAATCCACCAATTCAGATATTCTCGTGCAAACCGCCAATTCCCCCCGCCGCCAGCAGACATGTTTGCCTCGACCTTGCGAGCCGCCGCCCGCGCGCCCCAGCCCACTGCTGCCTTTGCACGCAGCTTTTCTTCGAGCCGCCCCTCGCAAATTGCTCGCATGACGATTGTCGGCCGCCTGGGCGTTGTGCCCGAAGAGGTTACTGTTTCTGGCGAGAGGACCTTGGTGCGCTATGTGGTTGGAACCAGCCACGGCAAGGGCGAGGAGAAGAAGACCAGCTGGTTCAGGGTTGCCAGCTTCGTCCAGGGCGCACAGAAGGACTTCTTGATGAGTGTGCCCAAGGGCTCCATGCTCTATGTGGACGCCGATGCGCGCATGGAGACATACTTTGACGCCGACGGAGCCAAGAAGACCAACTTGAGCTTGGTTGCACGTACGTGGTTCTGCGTCAATGCATACGCCCATTGCTGACAATCACCCCAGGCAACTTTGAGGTTCTGACGCGCGCCCGCACCGAAGAGCCTGACCCCAACGACGAGGGCCTTGTTCAGGAAGCCTCAGAAGCCTCGGAAGCCTCGGGCTAGACGTACGCGGCTTGAGTTGAGTGTAAATATGGCAGTCTGCACAGCACGTCTCCAATGCGAAGATTTTCTGGACGGGTATACGGTGGCAATGGAGACGGATATGCAACGAGGACAGCGACCATGGCAGCCGTCTTTGCCAGGCGCAGGATGGCTTCTTTACAGCCTCTTGAACCAGCATACCAGAGTGTACGACTATGGTCTGAATTTTTTCTATTGTGTCATCTCTACTCTTCGAGTGGCGGGTAACGGTGCTTGCTGAATGATACCTTTTCCTTGCAGTATCAGCTTCTGACATGCCCTCACGATTAAGACTTCGTTCTATGCCTTTGCCGTGCTGTATGACCTGTCAAAGCCATGCCAATGGGTAAAATAATTTCGTATCATGAGCCTACCCACCTGAGCACAGACACAAAATGCGGCGAACAAACACCTCCGAGAGGCCCGTCCCAACTTTTTGTGGCGCAACCATTCTACGCCAACACCACCACTCTCCAATATGCAAAGAATCGTACCCCTTCCCGCGCGTCAGCTGTGGGGTCATGCGCCACGCGTGCGGTCGGTGAAGCACCTCAATCGAAGCCGTCGCACGTTTGCGACGGTCTCCAGCACCGAACGGTATGCCACGCACTGCCCCGCCAACTGCCTGTCTGACACTCTCCCAGGCCATACGATGTCATAGTCATTGGAGGGGGCCATGCCGGCTGCGAGGCCTCTGCAGCTGCAGCACGCGCCGGTGCACGAACAGCCCTCGTTACGCCCTCTGTCGAAAACCTCGGAGTCTGCTCGTGTAACCCTTCCTTTGGCGGTATCGGCAAGGGCACCATGCTGCGCGAAATCGATGCCCTGGACGGTGTGGTGGGTCGCATTGTCGACAAGGCTGGTGTGCAGTTTAGAGTGTTGAACAGGAAGAAAGGGCCTGCAGTGTGGGGACCGCGAGCACAGATTGACAGGGCGCTGTATAAGAAATACATGAAGGATGAGATGTTGAGTTACAAAGGCCTGAGTGTTGTAGAGGGGAAGGTGGCGGATATCATTGTGGATCGGACGCAAGAGGAGGGCTCGAGGGGAACGTACGGCAAGATTACTGGTGTCAGGTTGGAGAGTGGGGAGATTATACCAACGGGCAACGTGGTGATTACGACTGGCACGTTTCTGGGCGGCGAGATACACATTGGGCTCGAAGCATATCCCTCTGGGCGCATGGGTGAGGCTGCAACGCTGGGGCTCAGCAAAAGCTTGAGGGATGCCGGCTTCACACTGGGACGATTGAAGACGGGGACACCACCGCGGTTAGATGGAAGAACAATCAACTACAAAGTTCTGGAGGCACAAGAGGGAGATGATCCGCCCATGCCATTCAGTTATCTGAACGAGCGCGTGCAGGTGGAAAAACAACTACTGAACCACGAGACACGGACAAACGAAGCGACACACGATGTTATACGGAAGAACCTCGACAAATCGATACATATTCGGGAGACTGTAAAAGGTCCACGATACTGCCCGTCGTTGGAATCAAAGGTCATTCGTTTTGCTGATAAGTCATCACACATTGTGTGGCTGGAGCCAGAAGGCTTCGATAACGACATCATATACCCGAACGGCATCTCTTGCACTGTACCAGCCGATGTGCAGAATACTATGCTCAAGACGATCAAGGGTCTTGAAAATGTCACCATGCTGCAGCCTGGCTATGGTGTAGAATACGACTATGTCGACCCACGGCATTTGCGCTCTACCCTCGAGACGAAGAACATCTCTGGACTCTTCTTAGCTGGCCAAATCAACGGAACAACGGGATATGAAGAAGCAGCCGGCCAGGGCATAATTGCCGGCATCAACGCGGGGTTGAAGAGCCAGGGAAAAGAGACAATGGTCCTGACCAGAGCAGACGGATACATTGGCATCATGATTGACGATCTCATCACCAAAGGCGTATCAGAGCCCTACCGCATGTTCACCTCGCGCTCCGAATACCGCATGTCTGCGCGTGCCGACAACGCCGACACGCGGCTCACGGCCATGGGCCGCGCCTCTGGCATAGTCAGCGATGCACGCTGGCAAGCCTTTGAGAAGGAAGCCGAGCAAATGTCCGCCCTAACCAAGCTCCTCCAGTCCAAAACAATGGGCTGGACAGACTGGCACAAGCAAGGCTTCCCCGTCCGAAACGACAGCACAAAGCGCTCCGCATACGATCTTCTCCGCCTCCCCAACACCACCCCCAACACCCTCGCCGCCCTCCTCCCAGACATCCCCTCCTTCTCGCAACACATCCGCGACCGCGTCCACATCGAAGCCACATACGCGCCCTACGTGGCATCCCAGGCGGCGACGCAAGCCCGCTGGCGCAAAGACGAGCATCTGCACCTCCCCCTCGACCTCGACTACGACTCCATTTTCGGGCTGAGCTTCGAGGAAAAACGCGCGCTCGAGGCGGCTCGCCCCGAAAGCGTCGGCATGGCGCGCAGAGTCGAGGGCGTCACGCCCACCGGCGCCCTGAGACTGCTGCAGTATGTCAGGGGCGTGGGCCGCGAGGAGCGCCACGCCCGAGCTAAGCAGGAGATTGAAGCTAGGAAGGAAAAGTACAGAGGTGCTGCTGCTGCTGCTGCTGCTACTGGGGCGGGCGTCAGTGTGGATGGGCTGTAAGAGTAGCGTTTGTTTGCTTATTCGTCCATGTACATGTATGTCCTTGTTGTGCATGAGTAGGATATTCTTAGCGTGCGGTTTGTTTTCCAAGTAAGTATTTGTCTGTCATGTGATATGGTATATATAATATCCATACTTTAGTTTGAGATATCAAGGGGAATTGAATCCATGGATTCACGACATCACGTCATGATTATACCTAATCTCTTTTAAGGAAGGGGGGGTGGTGATTTCCGTTTCTCCCCTTCTCTGTCATGTTTTTTTTTCTTTCTTGGTTACTGGCTTGCCTATGTACACACACACACACATGTGAGATATTAAAAGAGCAAGACCAAGTCTGAGTAGATGTATACTAGCTCAGTAGTTATTTTATATATATATAACATCTTCTTTTATTACTTAGTTGTTAGCTTACTACTGTCTTGTATGAATATATGTATACCTATCTGTGTCGTGAAAGAAATATCTAGAGGGTAAATACATATATGTTGATAGTACTTAGTTATACGTATGTGGAAATAAATAGACACTTAGGAATATATCTACTAAAACAGAACAAATACATACATACACACACACACATACACACACACACATACACACACACACATACACACACACACATACACACACACACACATACACACACACACACAGAAAAATGTATTAAACACAAAACACACATGAAAATATCAGCCAAAGGATAAAGCACAAAGCACAAAACACAACAAGGGACATTTGGTTTAGACGAAAATAAACTTGCATTTCCATTTCTCCGCATGCATTTTTGGAAAACCCCCTTCCCCTGTTGTTTCTCTCTTTTTTTTTATACCGCTTAATAACTTTCCATGACCCGCTGCATGACCGCTAAGAATTCTAACTCTTTCGTTGTGACCACACGCACACAGAGACATATATATGAAGGGGGTAGCGAAAAAAAAGAAGAGGAAGAAGAACAAGTCAACTCGCAAGAAATAGAAGAAAGAAGAAGAAGAACCGCCACACCAGTTATCAATGTCCTCCCTCCTCTTTTCCCCATCAGTGTATATGTGTACGTGTGAGGTATACACCCGTCAGAGGACCTGAAAGTTGCCGAAGAGAGAAGAAAAGCCGAAAAAAAAAGAATCCTCCATCATTGGCGACAAACTGAATTTGTGATAATTGCTCGGCGTATTGACAGCATTTCCATTCTGCGAAGCAAAGGGGCGTTTTCCCAACAATGCAAATCTACTTTTTTTTTCCTAGCACACACACACACACACACGGCCGCACCCGATGTTTTGGGTGACATCTCCCGCAATCTCGGATGCCTTTCTCACCTACCTTCCATACCCTCCGGCTACTACCAATGCACAAAACAAAAAAGCCGTAATCAGCATGCATGCCAACATGCCCGTTAATCCTACTCTTTCGCACCCACACACTACTTTTACTACTACTTCTATTACCACCACTTACTACTTTTGGCCTTCACTTCTATCTTCAGACCACCTTGTAACAACAATTTCTTTTCTCTTCTTTCTTTCTTTCTTTCTTTTTTTTTGTCTTGCGCGCATGACGCGCTGCCTTTGCTTGTCATTTGCAGCGGCGAATTTTCTTCCGTCGGTCTTGTTTTTCTTTTTCTTCCCTTTCCCCCCTTCTTCTAATATTCCTTCTTCGCAAACGAGCCGACTCGATTACTCTTATGCGAATCTTTGGAGGGGGAGGGGGGAGGGGGGAAAGGGAGCCAAGGTGGGCGAGGCGGGTTTTTCCCGGTCGTCCAGAATAATCATGTCCCGGAAGATTTTCGACTCTTTTTTCTTCTTCTTCTTTCTTCTTTTTTCTTCTTCTCTGTTTCTTGGAGTATTTCGATTGCGATAACTTGTACTCCATGCTACGCCTGCACTCCTATCCTTTGTATTTGGACTGCCAGATATCCAGCCGCTTGTTTCTAATGGTAGATCGTCAATGGGAAGTATGTTTTGAAGGGAAGCGGTTGCTGCGAGATGCCTATATCTCGACAGTCTTGAGGTCCTTTGGTTCGACGGGCGCAATGGGGCTCTTGAGGGATGAAGATGTTCTCTTGGTCTCTTTGTTGTCCTTGTTGTCCTTGTTCTCCTTGTCGCTGCCTAGGCTGTTGCGGGGCTGGGAGATTTCGTCGCTCGGTCTTGGCGTGTTCATGGAGATGAGGTCCTCGGTAGGCACGCTTGTCTTGGAATCGAGGTTTGTGTTTACACGGACGGGTTGGGGGTTCTCCTCGGCGACACGAGCCAATGGGCTTGAGAGCTTGCCGCGGGGGCTGACGCCTTTTGGTGGTTTCGACAGACGGTGAGGGCTGCGACCGCGGTCTTCGGGTGCGATGACGGGGCTGTGGTATGGGCTGCTCGCGGTGCTGCTAGGAACGACCATGCCCGGGGCGTTTGGGTTGACACGCAGACCGCTGGTTGGGCGTTTCTTGGGCGGCCGTCGACCGTGCTTCTGATCGCATCGCCAGCGGAGGACCTCTAGGTAGGGCGGCTCGACATTCTGGCGCTTGAAGATCAAAAGCTTCAACTCGGACGTCTCTTCGTCCAAGTGCACGTCCTTGGAGGCGAAATCGTCGGCCACCATGGCAAGGAGGGCGCCCCACGAGCGCGCAACGACGTATTTGCAGTCGTAGTCACGGCCATAGATGATAATCTGTCCCCAGGTACCGCTGGGACCGGGGGCAAGGTCGACAGCAAGGTAGTTGCCTCCCCAGTCGCGAGCAAGAGGAATCCAGGCCGGATGCGAGTAGGCCTTTTGCACGGCGTTTGGCGGCTGCGAGTCTTGGCGGGCGAGCAGGTCTTGGCGCCAGAGCGGGTTGCCGGTGCTCTGGACTTGGGCGACGGGAGGTGTGGTGGAGGAGCCGGCAAAGGCCTTGACGGGGATTTGGGGCGTGCTGTAGTCGACCTTGGTGGTCAGGTATTCCTCAGCGACCTTGCGCCAGTTCTTCCACTCCATGACGATTTCCTCGCAATCGAGCAGCATGAGGCCGAAGAAGACACCCGTGGGGAGACCGCCGCGCTCCTGGCCGTCGTGGATCTGCAGCGACTCGCGGACGTCCATGGGCAGGGTGGCGTCGAGCTCGTGCTCGAGCTCGTTGACGTCGTTGGAGGTGCAGCCCTCGCACATGTTGTCAAACAGCTCGGTGAAGTTGTCCTCGACCCAGCGGTCGATGCGCTTCCACGAGTGGGAGACGGGGGGCGCGGGGGGCAGGCCCTCGTTGAAGTCCTGCATCTGGATCTGGCTGGTGGAGCCCTTGTCGAACGAGTCCGAGTCGAGCGTGGCCTGGCGGCTGAGGGAGCCGCGCATGCCGGGCGAGTAGGGGGAGCTGGGCGACATGGGGCCCTTTGGGGAGCCGATGAAGCCATTGCTCGTGGCCAGGTCGTCGTGCTGGTAGGGCGAGTTGAGGTCGGTGCGAGACTCTGCGCCCGTGGCGGCAATCGAGGTGAGGGCGGAGTGGCGGCTCTGGGGGATGGGGATGTGACGGCCGGTCCGATAGGGCGAGTCGTGCGAGGCGTGACGGTCGTAAGAGGTCATTGTGTGCCAGAAGTCCTTCAAGGACGACGTGATTCTGCGCACGGGTTAGCCATGGGGAGCGAGGGCAGCAGCGGCGGAGTGGAGGCGGGGGAGGCGTACTGTTGAGCCATGGTGTGAGATGACGGAGGGACGGATGGATGGCGGCGAGTCGAGTCGAGTCGGGGTGGAGGCGAGAGCAGGGCAGGCAGGGCAGCGCAGGGCAGGGCAGAGCAGGGCAGGGCAGGACAAGACACGGCGAGAGGGCAGGGCGGAACAGCAAAGGAGCGTCTGGGTGCGCTCTGCGCTGGGCGGGCTGTGGAGCGGTCGTCCCGGGGGGTGGGAGTGAACGAGTGTCTTGTTGCAACCAGGAGCGAGAAAAGGTCGGCGTGTGGGCAGGAGCTGGAATTGAGCGTCGAGAAAACGGATGCAGAGGTGACGTTAAGGGGTGCCGGCGTGCCAAGCCCCAGCGCGACCGGGATGGCCCTGGATGGCCCGACGAGCGTTGAGTGCGCAATTCTGGCCGCCGCCTCAGACCCGCCAGCCGTGCGTCAGGGTGAGGGGTGAAATGGAGCGGTGCAGCGCCGCCGCCGGCTGTCTTGCTGGGGAGGGCGCGGGCGAGGCGATGGCGGCGATGGCGATGCTATGTAGCCTTGACTGTTGTTGTGCCGTGTTGTGTTGTGTGGTGTTGTTTTGTTGTGGTGGGTGGCGGGCGGTGGTTGTCAGGTATGTATGGTTGCTGGTGCTGGTGCTGGTGGTGTGGTGGGCTGGCCTGCTACCCGCTGCAGGCTGCTGCACCGCAACGACACCAAGACTGCACCGCACCCACTTGGGCCTCTATTCTTATGTACGTGCTAGCCCTCCTTACATACACCTACACACACCTACACGCACTTACTACACCCATGCCGCCCACCTGGCTCTACCAAACCGCCGAGCGACGTTCAAAAAGAAACACCCCCCCCCCCC